CCTCCCACCGGCTGTCCTGGGCTCGGTGTTGCCACAGGCCGCCAGGGAGCTGCCCAAGAACCCGGCCAAGGGATGACCAGAAGGTCCGTACAGGTCTCTGGTGCAAACGTCGTTCTACAAACACGAGTGCACTGACAGAAAAAGGTTGTTTTCGCTCTTGGGGCAGTTTGGCAAAGGATAAACACATTGTTTGGACTCAGAATCTTGGCTCCTCATCTGGGTAATAGCTACAATAAATAAAGAGCAGGAGCTAATTACCCTCATGAAGGTTTGTTAGGCGCTGCGAAGAGCGCACAGGGATTGTAACGATACCAGGCAGTACGCAGAGCACGCCTCTTCCCACGCAGCTCCGGGGCTTCTCCTCCTGCCCAGAGCTGGGCAAGGGAGCCCACAGCCCCCACAGACCCCTTCGCCTGCCCCTGCGCTCCTCCGGATGGGATTCCTACCCGGGAATCCACCTTCCCGGCACTGCAGTTCTCCCCCCTGCTGCACTGCCTCCGTTTCCACGGCAACTCCCACTCACAGCATTGCTCAATATTGTTCTTTTCCATTAAATGCGAGAGCCCCACTGCTCCTTAAAATAGTTCGTGATTGTTTGTGCTCCAGGAGATCATCCCTCGACCAGCACCGCCCTACACAAACCAGAACCGATTCCGTAAGCATTTGTGCTTCAGAACAGAAGGGCAGAGGGTGGGACGTAACCCGGCCGGATTCTTCTCTGGGCACCACCCTCCGGACCCACCAAGCGCCCGAGTCCGCTCCCGCCGTCGCTGGGCCCAGGGCAGCCCCTTCCCCTGCAAAGGCTGCAGCCCCTGGTTGGGGAAGCGGTGTCCCCCAGCCCCACCAGCGCAGCAGCGGCACCGGAGGGCTCCTCAGCCTCCTGCAGGAGGGGTGCACGCTCACACGCACCAGCACTGGAGCTGCCCTTTGGCAGAATGGTTCTCAGAGCCACACATCCCCTGGGATCCTGCAATTACATCTGTGATTAAAACCTGGTATTTTGCCTAGAAAGAGCAGCTGCTTAGACCACAGCCAAGTCATGCAGTGCTTTTAATAGATATGACTGAAAAACCTCATTCTCCATCCTGTACTTGCCCCAAACGTCACTGCTCTCCTGGCAAAAGGGGTGCGGGATGCACATGAGGAGTTCAGCGCTTCGCTACCCACAGGTGATGGGAACTCCAGGTCCTGTCCCAGGGCCACAGAATCGAGGTCAGAAAGCCTTTGCCACCGCAAAGCAAACCCGACCTACTGAATCCGGCCCAGCTGACTTCCCTTCTTACCGGGTTGGGGAGTTAGCTCCTGCGTGAGGAAGTGCGTAGGCACAGTTTACAAACAGAAAGGAGTTACTATAAAATTGCCCTAAATGAGCCATTACAGAAGGGTTTCTCAATAGGCCTAAAGGCAGAAGGAGACGTAGACAAAAGACCCAAAGAGGAGATGGCTTCCAGAGAGAATTTAGCCGAGGGGGCTGGAATAATGAGTCTGCAATCTCATGATGCCTGAGCACAGACCAGCTGCCTTGGGAAACACAGAGGAAGCAAGGAAAAGGAGCAAAAGCTCGACAGGGCAGACTTACACAATAGCGTAAGCCACGTCTTGTGCAGCTCAGAGTTAATTCCATTAGTGACCTTCCCAGAAAACATGCGTAAGCTTGTAGGGAACTTGCAACATTGAGAAGAGAGATAAAGTTTTCCATACCTGATGCTGAGAGGTCAAAGCCAAGTACAACCCAGATCTGCCCAAGAAAATACCACACACAAGGCACCTTGCAGTGTCAGACCCCCTTTCCCATCAGCGTGAGTTCACATTTCTCGTACAACCATTTCTTTACCACCACTTTCAGCTTTTGCCACAGCTCGTCTTGCGATGGTATCGAGGCAAGAACCCAGAGCACGGGGAATTGTAACAGCTTCCAGGGAGACATTCAGAACCGCAGCCGGAGCTGCGCACTGCACAGCACACGCACTCGCCCTCCGGGTTACACTTAAGATGCCACCACACACATAACACTGAATCAAAATAGGAAAGTGCCTGACAGACCCCAGGCAGAGTGTGCTCTCAGGACTCGGGCTTTTAAGAACAAGACTTTTAAGAATTCTGCAACAGATGTAGTGAAACTGCATTATCGCTACTTACAGACTATATACTGATCCTAGAGAGAAAGAACCCACTTCACCCGCTGGAACTGGATGCATGGGCTTTAACTACTATTCCTTAGGATTCAACAGAAACACAGCATCTCCAAGTTAATAGTGCAGAACTTTATACTACATTTAGCTCACACTTGACAGGACATGGTTATAAGGTAGCGACTGACACAAATACAAATATTAGAAACAACATTTGAAATTAAAAAAAAGTTTATTTGAAGATTTGTAAAACAGATCTGTGAAAGACCAACATTTCCAAGACACTACGATATGATAATGCATTTTCCTATTGTTAGAATATAAAAAAAAAAACCCTCACAGTCCTTTAACTACCTAAATAAAAGTATACATTTATGGACCAAACATTTTACTTCCAACATCAAGAAAGTAAATGGGTTGGAAAGTCAGACTAATCAATAGCACCAACACGAGGTGATCGCAACCCTCATGGGTCCGAGAGTCTGCGTTTGTCATTACCACGCAATGAAGCGGATTAGTGAAGCAAATCTCAATGTCAAAACAGACCCACGAGCACTGAAGAGTCCATACAATGAAATATCGTAACGCATTCTTTTTACATTCCATTGATGCAAACAACAGTAGCAAGCCAGAAACACCAAAGAGTTCCCGTTAAACTCCAAGCTTCCATTTCGGGACACGACATCTTCAGAACTTGCAAATGCCAGTTCTGTTTTAAACACACAACTTTATTCACTTTATGTTAACATAATTTGTGCAATAGAGACATGTGCAATAGAAAGGTGAAGAACAAGATGGAGAAGTAGACAGTATTCCAAGGATCCAATTATCACTTCACTGTAAAGCAGCACAGTATTATACTGCTTTCCGATGATACTCAGGAGGGGCTACTTCATAGTCACTGGCGCTAAACAATGCGGAGGAATTCTTTGCTAAATACCTATGAAAAAATAAAGAGATTAAATTACCTTCTTGCCTCAAGTCTCTGTTGTTTAGCATCACATGAGTGAGTTGTTAGGTGTCTGCCGAGACCATAAAACATGATTTCAAGAGTAGAAAACCAACATACATCTACTAAAAAGTCAGTTGTGTAACGCAATTAAAGATTTGACAGGTCATTCAAAAAAAGAATCCATTTCAAACAAGTTGTCAGGCAACTCCGGCTCCAAGTGAGCACAGGGAGGTTAAATTAACAGGATGGACCAGTTCACATTTGAGGTTCAGTCCGCGGCTGTGCCAAGAATCCATTTACTCCTGATGGTACTCAAAGGGATAGAGACAAGGAGCAGGACACCATGAAGTTCTGTCTGCACAAATACGAAACTGAAATGGCTACCTGAATGATGGCTAGGGCAAACGAGCCATGGGCAACTACGTGCAATAGAGAAGGTAGGCACTATGTGCCGTTACTGCTCATGGAATGGATTCTGGGATTTCTGGTCAATGCACTGGCTTCACATTTCTATCTTTGCAGCCGAAAGCTCCTTAGCACTTGGCGTTTCCTTCACACCTACAAAAGGCACCTATGATCATCAACTCAAGACTCTGGGACTGTTCCAGACAAGTCTGCCCTGGAAATCCATTTCTAGCTCTGCTGCAGAGCTGTCTTGGATTTGCCAAGGGTTTTCTTTTAACTTCCAATAGCTTACCCAATCCCACGGAGGTGAAACAGCTTTGTTACCCTGATTACTTACAGATCAGTATTTCCAAACGCCGTCAGTAGACTACTGAAGCCTTCTATGAAAACACACAGAACGTTTCGCCTCTGTGACATAGTCACTAGTGGAAGTTCACAGCTTTAGTACGCTTGACCAAGAAAATCTGCCAGCACAGCAAAAGCAAAAAGCAAAAAGCGGTGCCAATGCTGTGAGCTCACCGTTTCATACCACGCACCTGGCCCTACACAGATGTCTAAAGGAACTGATGAAGCATAGTACTAAGTTCCCCCAGCGCAGTACAGATGCATGGAAGCTGCTGCTGTCACACTCACGCGTACATATGGAGCAACACAGGTACGCCACCTCAGCCACTAAACTGAAGTTTCATTCCATTTAGAATCTCACATTCAGGAAGCATTTACAGGTGAACTAAGCAGCAGGTGACTCTGTAGTTCCCGGTAGCCACGAGGAAGTATTTCATCACCTGCCTGAAATCAAATATTTGATTTTTTTTTCCCCTCCAAAACTTTTGCATTAGTCTGGTACTATTATTTACGATGGGGTTTTCATTCTAAATATAACATGTCCACAGCACCACAGGCTACTGCAGAGCACTAAAGCTACAATGACAGTTTGTCCCAGAAATATCAGTAAAGATCATCAGTTTTTAACATTTGCTCCATTGTTGTTGAGTAACTGTTGTGTACTTTAATAGTTTGCTGTAATTGTCATCTGCTTTTTATAGCACGTACAAATAAATGTTGAAGCATTTATTTTGAAACAAGTAGCAGACTTGGACAGTTTAAAAGTGCAGACTAATACATATGTAAGCACGCATCTAACTAGCAACAACCTCAGTATAACTGGAGAGGAGATAAAACCAGTCTTACCCACGTTACTGGATAGCAGAGTTTGAGAAAGCTTCACTGCAACCTTCAGTGAAGACACCACACACAGACCCAAGATTTTATATACATATATAGTATAAGAACTGTTCACTGAAAATAGGCCCCATTACAACAGCCTGTGCTTACTTCACTTTTTCTTTCTTGCTGAAAGACTTGAAAAGTACTTACTTTAAGAAGTCATGCAAATAGTTTAACAGCAAAGCCAGACTCTTCTCATCAAGAGGAGTGTAAGCAAGCATAGCTCCAATTCGTACTGTTTCAAAAGAAGCAACACTTGTTAGTTATAAACAACAACAAGTATTTAAGAACAGTCTAAAACCTTACAGTAGCACAAATAAGCAGCCTAGGGATCTATTCCAATATATACAAGCTCACACAAAATAACCAGACTGAAAATCCATTTCCATTCCAAATCCCTGAATGGTTCTGAGCATTTTAGGTACACAGAGTAAGGAAAGAATGAAACCACCTTTCATAGTTGCTTGTCAAATTTCTGTAGTTCACACTCACTGAGGCTCAAGACAGGCAAAGGAAGCACTTGAATACTTCTAACTGCTCTTCTTCAGTCTCTAGATGTCATACTTACCAAATAACCTCAGTAGGTGTGGGGCACCATAGACTTGAGACATTGGAGCATCTGGGTGATCTGCTAAGATTTCAGCATATTGGGGCCTCTCAAACTTGTACAGTAGTTGAGTTCCCAGCATAACATTGAAGTATTCTTTAATTCCAGCCACAACTTCATTGACTGCATACTCCCTGGTAAACAGAGTAACAGGTAAACACTGCAAGTCTTGTTCTAGTGAGTGGATGGACGCAAGATGAGACTTGGCTTGGCGAGTCCATCAAAATCCAAAAGCTTGTTAAAGATCTTTACAATTTTTCAATGAAATTTGTCTGGAGACCTTAAAATATACACCCATAGGAAGCAATGCATTTCAAGACCTCCTTTAAAAAGTGGACTGTTCTGAACTCGGTAAGATTTTAGGCAAACCAACACAAGCCTTGCTTTTAGTCATCTACTCAGAGAAACTAACCCTGAGAGCAGTCCTTTCAAAGCACCAGTAAGTATTTATAAGGACACTTACCAGCTCTTCTGTTTTCAACCAAAGTTAATCCCAGCTCACGCCAGTTTAAAAGTACAATACTACATGTAATCAGACTGAACTGCTTAATGGAAAGGGACAGCCCCCCAATATTTCAGGCAACCGACCCTTTCTGACTACACTTCTCAATGCCATGTTCCTGCAGGCCTCCAACCTCACAACTAACCGCAGAATAACTGTATGGGAATTAGCAGTGACACTGCACATCTGAGAAGTGTAACCCTCACTCCACCCTGCAAACAGATTTAGAACATACATTAGGACGATGACATAAAAGAACGCTGAAACACCCTGACAAGTCAGTAATATGCTTCCTCTTGAATGGAAGAAAATAACTTTACATTTCTAGTTCCTCTCCCTTTAAAACAGGGAAAGCTTCGTTCAATAATAAAACACACCTTGTCTGTTGTCAGGGTTGGACTGCTGGGGTAATTACAAATAAGAATCTTCAAAGCTATCAACATCAAAGTAATTAGCTTTGCTCATCTGATTCTTTTAAAAGTCATCATCTGCCTCCCCGTCCCCCCACCCCTCTACCTCCACGAGAGGCCACCCGCACAGGAACACTTTGCTCAGCAGCTAGGCAGCTCTTTTGAGAAGTTTGTTCAGCTTGTACATAGCAAGTGTCACTGAACTTATTCACCCCACAGAGGAAGCCCAAGAGCTAGAACGAAGGGGCGGAGAACTATTCACTTGGCTCGAATCAGCTGCCTTTAGGAAAAGGCTTTGGGAAGGTGGAGGAAGCAGAAGTAGTATCCAGAAAGCAGAACCGCATTCTTGAATTACCTCCTCAAAGATTTCCAAACTCCTTAATCATCTTGGTCCTGGAACATGAAGCTGGACATAAAGCTGGGACATGTTTAACAACCTTCCTAAATCTTCCATGAAATACCAGTCCAACAACAGCAAAAGTAGTATTTAAGGTTTGAAGTGACCACTACTTACTTGTTATCAGTATTTCCTCGTGACTTTTTGTAGTTTGCATAATCCTCTAAAATGGAGTCAACGTTTTTCTTGGCAGGAAGATAGAAGAGCTACACAAGAAGCAAAAAAAAAAAAAAATCAAATACAAGTTGTCTAATTTATGCAAACATTTATATCTGCATGCTAAATTTAAATCAACATACGTAACATTTATAGAATAAAATTAACAGGTTAAGATGTTAGTGTTGCTGAAGGAACACCCAACTGTTTCAGTTGTCCACACAAAAAAACCCACCCCATAAATGGAAACATGGATATAGTCGCTGATCACATTTGTGCTGCTCAACAGCAACCTGATGAACTGCTAAAGGTACCCCAAAAGTCAAAGGTATGCAGCGCACACACATGGCCCGACAGACCTGCCTACACCAGGCCACACAGCAGTTACAAAAGCAACAGTGACCATTTTGCCTGTTCTTCCGTCTGCTCCTCTTCTCGCATCCAGTTCAGCACCTGACACTACTGTGGCTGCGAAGCAAATAAGGCGGCCAAGCACCTGCTGGGAAGTTCACTGCCTGCACCGTCTGAACAATACTCGAGCTACATCACAGCTTACAGAATTGAAGACAAATATTCCCAGCTATGATTCACCAAGGATTAACATCCATCTTTAATACCATACACAGATCATCTCTACCCACAGACAGTAGTTCGGTTGTATCCGGCAAGGCTCAGTAACACAGCAAATTCATGCCATTGGGAAGTTTTGAGGCATGGGACCCAGTTTACTTATCTATTTCTTTTCACAAAAGCACTACAGTCTAAAACCATTCAGGGGGAAAAAAAACCCCAAACCTAATTCTCCAGAATTAGAGTCAGCGTACACATAGCAGTGCTTAAGCACCTTTACTGCTGAGGCAAGTTTAGGATTTGTATTCACCAAGAAAAAAGTCAGCCTTATCCATGTAGGGCTTGAGCAAGATTTTTTACGTGTCTGGGATTGCAAGAACAGACGGTACCTTGAAGCAGCAGTAAGCTAGAGCACGCAATTGCAGCCTATCAAAAAATAACAAACAGTTTTCAACCATATTAATATCTACGCTTCTTGCCGATTTTAGTAGCGGTTTCATACATGAAATGGGTCATGATTCATTAGTAAGTTTAAGTGTTTTATACTTTTAAAATGGCAAGCAAAGTTTAATTTACTGTATCAGGAAGCTTTATATGGATCCAGCCTGGAAGAAGTTAAGAATCGCTATCTTAAGTGACAGCTTTCTGTCAGAACCATAGAACAACTTAAGATATTTGCAGAAGTTGGCAGTGAGAGACATGTAAACAAGGCAGGAAGAAGCTCAGGTAAAACAGGTGTCCTGGTTTGAGGTAAAACAGAACCAATTTTGTTCAGTAACTTCACTTCTTCGCCAGGCCTCTCTAGCTACTGAAATTAAAGCGTATTGTGCAGACAACGTTCACTCTGAGTGATAAGACCTATGTTTATAGTTGATGCCCAGGCACGGTATGCAGAGAGGACCTTGCTTACACTTATTGCTGTAACAAAGTTGGTGGCCTTGGTTGTTATTTGCCCCGTTGGAGAGTCAGAAGCAGAAAAGCACAGTGGGGTCCCACTTGCGGGGAGGAGCGGACAGGACAGGTGACCCCAAACTGACCAGCGAGGGTATTCCATCCCATCTGCCTCACGTTCAGTATAAAAGCTGAGGGATAAAAGGTCAGCTCTCTCTCTTCCTTCAATGGCCGACGTCTGAGGAGGACTCTGTTCATCTGCCTGTGATCCCGATCCCGAATGCAGATCCAGAATCCAGTTCCCGTACGTCACTGAGTCCAGCCTGGGACTGCCCCAGTGCCAGCCGGTGTCGTGACTGTCATCTCGGGAGCTTGCTATGGTTTTGTATATATTTCATTATTTCTTTTTTATTTTATTATTAATATTTCATTAAAGTAGTTTAGTTCCTTCTAAACTCATAAGTCTTTTTCCTCCTCCGCCTCCCTCTTCAAAGAGGGGTAGAGGGGAGCATCTGTCAGTCCCATCTGGGGTCCCCCAGGTCCCCAGTAGCTGATTTGGCCTAAACCACGACAACAGGCATCGCACGTGAGAGTCCTACAGACCAATTCTCTACCAACTAAGTAAACTGTTCAAAACATACCAGCAGGCCAAGCACGCACAGTTAACACCACATTTAAAACTTATTTAAGCTTTTTAAATTATTTGCCTTTCTAGCTTATGCTTGATTAGCTCAAGTCTATTCTACAAATTTACACACAACTCTGCTGAGCCACAGTCCTACTCACAGGTGTCCTTTGGTTAAAATCCAACTGGAATGCCAACTGTCAAGTAAGCCATCAGGCTGCTGTCAAACTCTACAAGAGATTTCACTACACCGCGCTTAGAAAGGATATGAAATTCTAGTTTTAGCGTCCTTGCCTATACACGGCCAGATCATTCTTTTGACAAATTACCTGCTTTTGCCTGGTGATCAAGTCCCAGTCATCTACCAGCCATGGTTTCAGCTCTTCAGGGATTTTCACCTTTACTTCAACTCTGTTCATAAATGTTTCTTCCTAAAAAGAGTGAAGCCAGACCAATTACTTTCAGACAACTGTCCAAGCTAAGAGTCACCCATATTCCCTCTTTTCACAACTGAAATATACCACTGAACTGAGGAATTACTCCAGTAATTCCCGTAGGCTCCACAGGGAACAAGGAAATAGCTTAGTTTTTTCAAGGCCACTTGGGAATCTTAGTTTTGCAAGTTATAACATTTCACACTGTCACACTACTGCAGGACAAAGCATTGCCGTCTGTATTTCTGAGCAAAGCAACCTTCCTGTTTTCTATCAAAAATCCTGTGAGAGGATCAGAAATACATACGCTTTCAACCGTTGGATCTACTCGAGCCCTCTTCTTCCTAGGAGGCTGAGGTGTCTCACTGGTACTGCTCCCTTCTCCAATTCCTGGAGCTGTACACAGAAAGGACATTACGCTGCTTAAGAAGCCTGGTAAATCAGTAAGAAATACCAGTAAAAAAAAAAAAGATTTGGAAGGATTTAAAAGTAAGACTCAGATTTCTCTCAGGCCACCTTTTTACTTGTTCTGGGGGGGGGGTTGTTTTAAATATTACTTGTATTCTGGAAGTTCCACATATTTGTGACAGTTTAAACTGCTATATTTACATTTATCTGAAGATGACAGTTTCTGCATTAAAAACAAACTAGTATGTCAGTTATCTCTAACATTCTTCTGAAGAATTTTTGGAACCAGCAGCTCAGCTTTGCAGATATGTCACATCTCCTTCTCAATAAGTTTGACTTATGAAATTAATTCAACAGCTCCACAGCAATATCACTTTGCTTTTAATTTGCAAGAGGTCAAAATCTTGACAGACTGACACAAGTAGTTTGTGTACAAACCAGAAAAGTATTCATTCCTCCCGACCAAGAGGAAGGGACATCTGAAGTCCAAGAGGAACAACACAAGGTGATAGTAAGTAAACTTAGTTGAGGCAGATTTAAGGTCTTATTCCAGCTAAGAATCCTTCACTAAGGACATCCACTTATATACAAAATAGAGACATACTTACTTTTCTGTTTGTTCTTTTTTGTTTTCCTGCAAGAAGAACACAGATTATTGCAAATATAAAGACAGCAGTACTTAAAGAATCAAAAGTAGAAAGCCAGGAAAATTGTCCACTAAGTTCAGAACAAGGGAACGCTCAGCAGCCTATGGCTTATCTAGATAAGAACACATGAAAGAAGTGTCAGATATGGCTTAGCATCACAAAACCCCAGAAGGCATGCCAAGAACACATAAGTATTTAAAAATGGTAGACTGATGCTTAGGCAAGTAACATCTACAGATGTTTTATTCTTTCCCATTGCTCTTGGAAAACTACACTAGGTTTGTAGGTGTTTTATTTCTGCGTTTCAGCAATCACTTAGAGACAGAATATGGGACAAGGAAACAGAAGTGCTGAGAAATATCAGATAAATCTCAGTCAACTGAATTAACTTCCAGTAAAGTATTAAAGACAGACCCACACCGTTTTACCACTATAGCAGTAGAGGGAAGTTTAAACAGCACTATCGGAATTATATGCATGAAGCTGCATGGACTGCCTACAATGCCATCATCAACTTTTAAGTGAGATCACAATTACACTCGCCACTTACTAGAAACATGTGGAACAGTACTAAATAGCATAGTCCCTAATGTTTACCTTCTTCCAAATGCTTCTCTCAACACTTACTGTGTCTAATTTACACACTTCACACTTCCCTAAAGTCTCTATCCTTAGCCCTTATTTTTATTCCAAATGAAGAGCTGCATTTCCAAAAGTTCTAAAAGACACCTGAAATACAATGCACACGACATGTAAATACTCAGATAGGTCAAGAGTATCAATGACAAAATTAAACCATCCCAACCGGTATTTTTGTTAATATCTGAACTTTGCATATTTACTAACCATTTCAGAAGATTTTAATTTAGAGGACTACTAGTCATGTTTCAATTTGCTCACTATTAGTAAACGTCTCAAAAAAGTGCAGATTGTGCAGATAAAACTCTTTACCAGTACAAGATTATCTCCTTGGAAATTCACCACTATCTCAAGTGACTCTTGTATTCAGGCTTTGAACTAGGTTTATCTGGGTCGGGAAGTAGGCAGAGTTTTAGGAAGGTCTGAAGATAGGAAGAGTAAGGCTTTTTTCAAGTTTCAAGTCACAAACAAGCATTAGGCTTAAACTGTGGGCACCATAAAGATCATCTCTCCAGGAAGAAGGAAAAATTGCCAAGTCAGGTCACTGACAATGTACTTGTGTATTGAAGAGAAGTCTTTTCTTCCAAACCTAGAGTAAACAAGGAGGAACAAGGAGCTCTTTCTAGAATTAAAATCACAAGATCAAAATAACCTTAAGCATTAATCTAGAAGCAGTCTTAAACTGGAACAGACAGGCAATATAAAGTACTTAAAGAGCTACCGCAATTAAGACAATAAACCGCATCTGTGTTACTGAAGCACAAAGTCTAGTATAAACCGTTCCAGGCAGTTGCTTGTGCTCTCCCACCTCATTCCTTATATTTCAAGTCATATGCCTCTGCTTCAAGTCAAAGCAGCCATCTGTTTGCAAAGTCTAAAAGACAAATCCGAGTTAGGGAACAAACAAAAAGAGCTAAGGTTAGCGACAGAACATTAGCATTTGGCAGATTTTCGACAGCCCGTACAGCAGACTGTCTGGAATAATACTCTTCACTCCGTGAAGGCAGCCGTGCAAGCTGAAGCGCTGCTCTCATGTGCAGGAACTAAAGCATGCAGTGCAGTCGGTATCTGGGAGAAAGATGCAGCATCTGTACCACAGAGGGTACAGAGAGCCCTACTGATAGAAGTTGTAGCCCAGGATGAGCAGCACACCTCAGATAACCAGATTCCATTAATCACACCAAGCAGACTCATTGAGACATACAGCTGAAGAACACCATACGTGCTCCTAACGACGGCAGATTCTGCAAGGACAAATGGAATGCAGGTCCTGAAGTGACACAAAAAGATGAAACTTACGTAGACTAGGTTAAAACGCATCCTTTTGTGCCACTTCACAACTGCACTATGAACAGCAAGCCCGATATTGCTGTACAGGAGTACTATAAGAGCTTTCATTGACTTCTCTTTATACATCAAGTACAGCTCAGCTGCTATTCTTCATTCACGTATTTCTCTATTGACAGGCATTTTTCACTGAAAACTGACAGCAAAACTGAAAAGCAGCACAGAAGTTTCTAGGAAGCTTCTGTGGAAAGAGTTTTAATTAAAGAAAAACTGAACAGAGCTGCAAGGTGCCAAAGATCCCACAGTTCAAACTTACAGGATACATCCTTTAAGTCAGACATTACCTCCTCAAAGCAGCAGGGTCAGCAACCAGTTCTGCTAAGAAGCTAACCCAGCCCCCATGGCAGGGTTTTATTTTAGCAGAACAAGAACACGCAGCTATAACAAGAATATTCAAGTATTAGGGATCAAAATGTGAGACTGAATTAGAAAGCCAAAAATAAATGAACTACTGACATAACCATCTGAAACTGTGTAGAAACAAGAAGATCAGTAGAAAATAAACAGTATTATAGCTTACAGAACAGCTCACAACAATGAAATGTTGTATCTCAAATGCGACCAACTTAGCAGGAAAATAAGCAGTCCATGCCACAATAACATAATACTGAACTTCCGATCTCAATATTCAAAACAGGACTGCATTCGTGATCAAATGGTGAAACTAAAGAGGATGCCATAGAAGACAACATACTGCAAGACTGCACTACACCTTTCTACAGACATCCATCAGAAGAAAGTTAATCAAGTATCTGTCACAGAAGCTTGGGTACCACCTCAGGAAGCCATCAATCTTTGCACAAGAGTTGGTGTTAATGCTCAGAAGTATGAGCTGGAGTGTCTTCTGGGACATGTCTAAAGAACCATCAGCAGAAAATAAAAATAGTGTAGAAAATAGAATTCAACACAGACAAATGGTATCAGGTATAAAAAAGAAGACTTTGGAAAGTTTACTTACTCCACAACAATAAGGAGTCTATGACCAGGCAGATACAAATGTGGACAACAAGTATTTTACTTTCCCCAAATTCATGTGCCTTTTAAAGGGACTTAGAGGTCTGTCAGAACCTCCCTACAATAGTTGATTAAAATATGAGCAGCAGGTAGCTACTCATATCTTAAGGTAGCTACCACTTGGTCTCAGGTATTTGAGTTCAAGACACCGGTAAATGCCAGAAAAAGGAGATTAGGTGCCAGTTTACTGATAAAACAACAGTTGTAACTAGGCTATATGAAATCATAAGGTCTCTCCTCATACAAGGTTACTAGTAATAAAAAAAGTACATGAAAAGATTCAAGTGCAAAAATACATATATTGGAAAAATATATGAAATCAGCCCCTATTGCTCAAGCGGCTTGGTCACTAACTTAGCTGTGAGAAGCAGCATTCCTATGAAGATTCAGTGAAACCATCAAACACTACTAGCAAAAGGCTAAAAACCAAAGTCAGGATTATATACGCGTATGTCTCCTGCGCCTGGTCAGGGAAGCTGACCTTAGAAGGCACACAATAAAACTAGAAGAGGTAAAGAGAACAAAGAATAGTTGGTAGTGCGCAACAGCTTCTCTACCAGGAGTGACCAGGCAGACCAGGGCCTTCTCGAGCTGCCAACTGGGCAGGAAGAAGGGAAATGTGGTAGAGGTATCACTAGCAACAAAAGGTGAGGCTCAAAGAACTAGTCAATCTTTCCTCAAGATCGGTGAAAACGACCAAAAAAACCAAAGCAGCAGACATTAAAACCAGGAGGAGTCATCCTCTTTCCTCTCCTCTTCAACACAGCACTGAATTAAAATAAGAACGTGCTTCCATAAGATGATGGGGATGCCAGAGATCCAAATGGTTCAGAAGGTATTAGACAAATATAAGACAGTCCTACAAAGGGGTATTAAACCCATCATATGCATACAGCCTACAGCTCTAAAGTCCCTTAATTACAGACTGCTAGAAGTGAAAAGGGTATTTAGCATTCTAGACTTGATTATCCCTAAACATGTATTACTGGTGACCATCAGACAGCAGAAGAGGTTACGAAAATGTCTGGCTGGAGCCGGTGTAGCCATTCCAATGCTGTTCCAGCCCCAGACAACTGGCATGTAGGCAGCACTCACATGCCGCTTGACATTTAAAGGACTTGGAGTACTTGTGAGAGAGCCATTAGCTGTGCCAAAGATAGAGGATGCCACAAGAGACGTGCAGCAGGAGCATATGCTTTTGAGTAATATGTTCAGATTAAGAATAAGACTTCTATTAGAAGAAAAAAAAACAGTAGCTCCCAAGTTGAGATACTGTTTTGAGAGCACCTCTGATGAGACTGCTTGGATGATATAATTTAAAAAAAAATAGATGCTATTCTCAAATGTGTTATTCAGAGCCCTGTTTTCCCTCCAGAATGCTCTCAGTTGCCCTTCTTATTTTCCAAGCACCCATTAACTCTGTTTACTGATTTTTTTGCAAGTTAATCCTATTAGGCCCAGAAAAGGTAGCATAAACTCAGAAGTTGAAATTCAGTAGAACTACATATAAAACAGTCTGGAGAAGCCAGTATCTGTAGTGTTGTATTTAATTTTTGGCAACCTGCTATAACCATACAGGTTTTTTTCTATGATACCCTCTGGTTAATTATTTTAAGAACAAATGTATACAACCTGCATTTCATGCATATTTCTGTTTAATCAAATAGTGCTTACAAATAGTCTCACAAGCTTTTTGACCACTCGCTGCAGTTTACAGAAACCATTATTCTGAACAATAAAAATACAGCACATTAAGGAGCAGGTTCAAATGGCACATTTCTAACAACATGTATCACAGCAGCCTCACTCCCCAGCCTTACCGAAGACAGAGCAGCCTGTTACCGATTTCCATGGAAGCAGAATTCCAGGCTACAGTAAGCATGCAGACCAGTGTAACCTTCTAGAACTACCCAGTTTCAAGAAAATCTGAAGTCAGTTGTCCTCCACTTCTTTTTAAACAGTGGAAACACTGAATGCATTTGACTACTCATATTGTACACTACCCCAACTGAAAAGGTATACATTTCAGAGAAACTAAGAACTGGTAGTCCATACTGGCTTAAAAAAAAACCCCAAATAAATGATATACTGCAGTACTTATAATTGTTAACTGAAGTGCTACCAAAGCTTACATTATTACAACCAAGGACTTTAAGAGTCTCTAAAAGAAATCTATGAAAGCAAGGAGATTTGGATTTCAGGATGAAAATCCTGGTTTGACAATCCATCCTTAACTCACCGCGTCGATATTGTAGGGGTCTCCAAACAGCAAACAGTATGCGCTCCATCTCGTCTGAAAAATCTAGGCACAATGGGGGTTGAGTTAAGGAAAGAATGTCAGACCTAGTGTTTAGCCTTAAAGAGAATCTATTTAAGATTCAAAATTCTACCTTTTTAGCAGCATATTATAGTCTTACTGAACATTCCTGGAGGATAAGTTGTACTTAGATTGTTATTTCCTTTCCATTATTGTTTGGCTATCTGAAGAATAAGTTTCAAAATATAAGTTACCTTTCCCTTTGTTCAATCCTCCAAGAATGCTACAAAAGGTAAATTTTGAGGCCCAAATAGGTTGACAGCATTACCCTTTTAGAATAGTTGCGAGATCAGTTTCTCCCCCTCCCCACCATCAGTACTTTATGTATCTGCAGTGACCTTAGATTGACAAGAGAACAATCCAGAAGTTGTATTTTGAGTTTTTTCAGAAGCCATCTTGCCTTTAGCTGTAAGCAGGATCTGAGAAGCAGCAGTTTGGTCAATCGGTATCACAACCCTGCGTCACTGCTAGGGTAAGTCAAAGTATTTCCTCTCCCTCAACCTCCAAATAGGGAAGAAAAATAGGGAGACTTCATTGAGAGAAGCACAGGTATAATTTAGAAGGATGCATCGGACGCTGGTAATGGCTAGAGACTAGGAGCAAGATCAGTGCAACAAGCATATGGGGTCCTGTTATAAATAACTTTCACAATGCAAGACTGCTGTTCTAATGACAATAGTTTTCCTTCTTCCCCTTTACAACTGTGAAAACCCACCATCAAGGAATTACTTTTTCCAATCAACATGAGACAGAAGTTTCAGAGAATTAGCTTATTGTCTGTTTTGCTACGCTGGAAACAGCCACCCATGCTCAGGATAGTGATGACAGCAAAAAGCAAAGCCACTCCCTTTCGCCAGCTGGTTTCAACCAGAGGACAGACAGACAGACCCGGTAACATGCTTTCAAGCTTTAGAGTCACACAAAGGCTTAAGATGAAGTCATTTTTGCTGTGTGGGTCTCCCTTGGATGCAACATTACTAGGTGTGGTTGAGAGGATTAAGCCAACTTTGATTTCAAGCACAGGTTAACATTTAGCATTTCCTCAGCCAGAGAGAACAACTCATCCCACTGCCATCAGTCTGAACTACCAAGATGACTAAAGCTGACAGTATGGGGAACCTAATCCTGAAGTTACTATTGGGGTGTTCTCTATAATACAAATTATAGACATTTATAATTGACTCATCACTGCCTGTGTCCAAGTTACACATGAAATTATTTCTACTCCCACTGACAAGTCAGTCAAATGCAAGACAAGTCAGGTTCAACAACCCCTTAAGCGGCCAAATTAGTAATGGTCATAATTTAGATCTCTTAATCAGATTTTAATGACATATATTAGGAACTGTCTGGCTTGGTTTTTTTTTTTCACCCCCAAACGAAGACAAACAGGTGACTAGGTCCCTGTCAGAGGCCCATCCTGAGCTGACAGCACACACTAAAGCGGTGGTGTTAAGGCACCTCAGAACCTACAGCACCATACCACAAGGGAGCATGCACGCAGCATTACAGCCAGATCCATCGGACTCCCCCGTCCAGAGACCAAGAGACAATTTACAGCCTTGGCTAGGCTTTGACTATCCTAAAGTGAAATCTGCATTCAGGATCTACAGAAAAAAAAAACCAAAACCAACCAACAAAGAAACCACCCAACAAAACACTGTACTCACTATCACTGCACTTCTCAAACCAATGATACATATTTTATAACAAAGTTGCCCATAAATGAGACATGGAATCTGAGGCTGCTGCCAAATGCTCTTCTTAGGAATTGATGTCATTTCAGCAGCTTCCTCACGAAGACTAGAATCATAAATGAAGTTAGGAGTTCAAAACATCACATTAGTAATGATCATCTTCGTAGTTCAGTGAATTACTACCCCAAACAGAAGAGTTTCATGGCACATGAGCAAAGCAGTAGAGCTGTACTGACTGTTTGAGAATCTAAACGTAACACCATACAAGCCTACTCTGAAAAACAAAAAGGATGGAATGAAAGAAATCCGACAGTTACATCCTGAAATTATTTTTCTAATAAATGTCTGAGCTTGCTTCTGGTCTCTTAAGATGCAAAACATTTTTAATAGCGTATGGGTTTAGTTTTGTGAGAAACAGCAAAATAAAGACTCTTTAAATGCAGTTTTAACAACTGTACAGTAAGAAGGCAAGACATTTTAAGGATTTTATTCCAAAGTGCTTGCACAGCTTGGAAAAACTGTAATATTCTATGTACCTATTTCACCGAGATACATGAGTCTTACGAGGACTCACCACTTTGAGTGTCAGTTCACTAACTTATGAGGAATAGAGCACAAAAGCAGTAGAGTGTTAGTGTCTACTCAGTACGTTGATTCAGTATTAAACACTGCACAATCTAAGAAGGCAGTTTTAATAAGATACTTCAAAGGCCTTTTTGATATCACAAAAGTGAAGCAAACTTTTGTATGGGTTGTCTCAGAAGTAACGTACTTTAGCCTGCAGAACCATTCTAAGAAAAATACTATTTACAGTTCAATAATAAAACTGACAAGCAAAAGTTTGGAAGGTTTTTTTGGGTAGGGTTTGGGGGGGGGGGGTGTGGGGTGAGTTGTTTTGTCTGTTGAGGTTTTTTGGCATTTTTTTTGAACATAAAAAGCTTCTTACACTTCAACATTTTTCTGCTGCAGACCAGAAGTCTTCTTGCCTGGAGCAGCACCTCTCATCTTCCCCTCTGCATATTGTTCCCTTTAAAAAAAGGAAATTTGTAAATAAGACTTCAATGTAAAAAGCAGCTTGTTTTCTCTCAAAGGGTAACAGGTTATGCAAAACATTTAGAGAATGTCTCTTAAATGGCTTTGCAAATCGGTATGTGTCCTGAGCAGGAACAAATTCAACTCAGTATCAAGATTTAAGCTTCTTCATACAACATTTTGCAGTACGAACACCCATTTCCTCCCCCTCCCAGCATCCTTGTTATGCTGAATCACGTGGAAGCAGCACAGTGCTTCTGAAAAAATATAAAACAACTTCTCAATAAAAGCATTTCTATTAAAGAAATAGAAGGTAAGCATTCATAAAAATCAAAGTATTTGTAGGCATCCTGAAGCTGTCGGAGAAGATCCTTACCACTTTATTTTAAGGATACTGCACAAGGGTCATTTTCAGCCACCTAATTTCCACTTTACAGGACACACTTGCAGTTAGTCAGGCTGCCTCTGTTTCATCAGCCTACTCTTCCCTAAAACCTGAAGTCACCACTTTAAAACCAAGAAGCAGCTTGCTCTTTCTAAACTGCTAGAGGACAAAGATCCAAACACCTCTGTAAGCCACAGCATCTCAAGAATAAAGGAACATATGAACACCTCTTTTTTTAAACTCACTAACTTCCCTTGATAGATGGTTGTTGGATTGAAGCTCTATTAAAAAAAAAATTATTTACTGACAAGGACTGCTAACAAAAATACTTACTGATTGGCCTTTTGAAGTTCTTTTTGTTTCTGCAAATTGGTATCCACGTATTTGAGCACTCTGCTTTCTGGAACCCATTCATCCCAGCTGAAAAAAAAAAAAGAATCAAATGATGATTCAAAAACATTACATCATTGCATTCTACATATAATAGTCAATTAAAAGAATTTGAGACTGAACTCTGCTTTTGTGTCAAGTCATGGACTGGCACAACTGAAAGTGTAAATTACCAAACACATTCCCCACTGACTGAAGCTGTAACGATTTTTCTAGGGAAGTGTAACCCTCAGTCATTTCCAAAGAGTTTCCCAAACTCAAAGGATGGACAATTTAGGAGGGAGGGGACTGTCTTTAATTTAAGAGCATCATCTCAGGAGAAAAAAAAAATTCTACACTTACTAAATTATGGGACAGCTGCAGCCATAACTATATTATGAAGCAAGTTTCCTTTATCTATTCCAACATTTTATAGGTTAACAAATTCAGCAATAAGATCTTACTGTAAGAAGAAGAGCTCTGATTTCTGTCTGTGAAGGAAACCAAGATGGCATGAATATTTGAAGAATCTGAAGTGAACGATTTAAGAGAACAGGTGTTGGGGAAATTGCCATTACGAGCAAGAATTCCACTTTGACAAAGAGTGGATAATCTGAGCAATCTGACAATTTGTTTCAAATAAAACACATTAAAAGTGGCCAAGTTATTCTAAAGTACACAAGTTAAAGCTCTACATATAGAGTTCCGTGTCGTTTTCATTTCATGGCAATAGCTGCCAGTCTTGGAACATGAAGGTGGCAAAACCAATACTACTACAGGAGTACAAGGTCTTCAAGAGTGTTAACACAAGGCAAGCTTCACATCCAAAAGTTAGAGAAACATGTCCAGCTGTACACATTCTAAGACTATGTTTTTAGGATAGTGCTTTGGTCAGATATTTGAGCCAGTTATCTTAATCCTGCCTGTACAGCTGCAAGAGACCTTCAAAAGAAGTGCTACATAACTGCGCGGCACATTATACTGCATGATGAAGAAACTTTTTTGGTATCCTAATTGTTGATATTTGCGAAAAAAAAGTCAAGCAATTAGCAAGTAACAAAGGACCATAATTATAGAAACCAAAATTAAGGAGTCATATTGCCCCAGTTGTCTAGACCTTGCAGCAACGCAACGCCACTTTTAATGTAGTTAATTGGAAGCTCGAAGGCAAAAAAAACTCAAACAGCGCGAGCAAGAAAAGCAGGAGTCACAACATCACTTATGGCACTCTTCAGAGATAAACAAGGAGAGGAAGTGTCAAATTTATGCTGCCTCATTAATATACAGCAGCCACCATAAGAACCAATTATGCTCCCTGTAACTGTCAGTGTCTACAATAAAACATTTATCTGACCGTTTGGCAGGGAGGGTGTGCAGATGCATTTTTAAAAGCTACGTATTAAAACAAAGTCCAGCTTTTAGTCACATCAGTGAGATCAAGACACTAGTGACTAAGAGTCTTCACTCTAGAGTCTACAGCATTGGAATGAAACCAAAACAAAACAGGAAAAAGTGCTCTCTGAAAGACTTCTGAAGTCTGAAGCTTTTAATCACTATGAAAAAAACTCCACTTTTCCTAAATTCAAAACCTAGCAGCAGAACAGAATTCAAATGAAAGAAAAAAAGACAAGTACACAAATGGAATAATCTCATGAAAGTATTCACCATTAATGGGCTGAGCACTTATTCATGGAGACGCCTCTATTCTTCAGAAATCTCTCACCTCGAATCCTACCATTTTTGCAGAAGGGAAAAGCATCTCTAAGTTTACCTTAGCATGAGAGGCAAGAACTGAAATACAGGCTAAACCTGCTCCTGTGAAAGAGTAAAACAGAAAGCCCTTCCCATTCCAAACACAGACTTCACCAAGGCATGCTTCTCCGAATCTTTGCTACCAAACTTTGCTGCTAAAAGTGGTATAAAAATAAAGCACACTGTATTTGAGTAGAGAGTTTTCCTCCTCCTCAGTAGCGGTTGCCTCTCCGACCAGCACGTGACAAGGAAGTTTTTGTACTACCTATCTGTGCCAGGGAGGAATTACAGTAACTGTTCTCAAACTTGAACAAACAGAACGCTAGGAAGCATTCCCATTAGTCTATTGACACCCTAAGCCAGTTTGTCTATACAACCAAAGCTCTGACGGAAATGGTTAGTTAGGCAATGTTTTCTTTGTGTTACTATAAATCACTGGCTTATGTATAAAAAATAATTTAGGTCAACTGCAGAAACAGTCTCCTAACAACATGGACACGGTAGTGCTAGGCCATCAAGCTCGCATTCAAACTGACAAAACCTGCATTTTCCCATACAGGAAAATGAAATAGTGCTTTCATTTTATGCAATACTTACTTTTTATTCCAACCACTGTAATGGATAAAGTATTTCACTTGCTTGTCCTTTATGGCAACCTTTACGCACTGGAACAGAGAACAAAGTTCAGTCAGTACCACTGAGAACAAAGATCTGAGTGAGTTTTGCTTTCTCAGCTTTCAGAGCTTCAGCATGCAGATATTTCCATGCAAGCAACTGAAATACCAGCAGCTATGTCACAGCAGAAGGTCAGTTCTCTAACACAAGTTACTGCCTATGTACGGATTTGGAAGGGCTAGGCAAACAAGCAGCTCTGCTCAGCTATCCAAAGGGACACCTTCATCCACGAGAAGGATCAGAAGCCCCTGAGGATGACCAGAAGAGTAAACAAGCAGTCCCTTCACTACCCCCAGGTTAGCCAAAAGCCATTCACTAGAGAGCTTGTTCACATGCAGGCCCCTACCTCACAGACAGGTAAGCTGGCTGAAGTAGAGGAGTCTTCAAAAGTAAAATAAATAATACGGATCTCTACAGCCACAGAGAGCGCATTATATTCAGTAGAAAGGGTTGCAGTAAGGGCTTTTTCTAGGTTAAGAATGTATACATGAGGTAAATAAAAACAGTTATTTCCATCAAAAGACTGGCCTATGAATACAGTAACTTCCTCATACACTGATATTAAGGTGAGACCATTAAAAGAGGGAACACATACATAGCAAGGTTGTTCCAACCACTCCACAGTCTCACACAGATTCAGCAGTGTCTCTCAAACTTTTCTGCCTTATAGTTTAGCAGAGCCCTACTCACAGCCTGCAAGACCCTGCCTCAGCTCAGAGGAGCATGTTTAGGTGAGCTGGAACAACTGTGCACACTGCCCAATAACAAAACAACTTCCTCCTACCCCTGCAGTCTGGCACATTAAGAGCTCAAGCTACCACATCCATATAAATGGGGAAAAAAAAAACCACTCAGCCAGAGACATGCCTCTCCCTGAAAAGAAAAAAAAAAAGCCCAGAACAGAAACTACATAACATTAGCTAGTTTAAATATGTGCCCTCTCCATGTCCCTGAACTTCTTGGCAATACCAAATTAAATCCACCAACTTCAGCACTTTGTCCAGAAAGTTACCAAGTCTTGTTCTGGAGATGCTACAATACAGATGCCACTGTACCACCTTAACAGCGAAATAACGAGGATGTTGTAAAACATGAACCAGCACCTTTGCTCTAGCTCTTAGTCTCTTTTTAAGGATTTTTCCCATTGAAGTAAAAAATTACTCACAGCCGTCATAATTGCTATTTTCTTGCCATGCTAATTGAGTCACCTCTATGTATTTGAGAGGACAGAGCCTGCTGCCACACAACATTTTCTCAAGACCACTGCGGTGATCTCAACATGATGTGCCCTCTTCAACTAAAAAAACTGCCAACATAGAGAGGAACATATTTCAGTCCTAATCTCCAAAATGCCATATATGGAACTTTAACTCAGTCTCACCTAGACTTGGAACTAGGCATAAGGGTATCCTAATCCTGTTTGATAGACTACTGCACCAGTGGCTCATTTTGACAGTCCTGAAGTTAAAGCCAGACAAATACAGACTGTGTGCTTAAGAAGTGTCTATTGTTTTGAAGAATATAAGGACTGAGCATGAAGTAAAAGAAGATTCAAATATATTTCTGTACCAAAATATTTTCCTTCCTGCTGGAGATTAGAAGTGTCTTAAGTGAATCTCATTTACCTCTGCATTGTACAGAGATGTACAAACAGTTACTGTTGCCATCATTTTTCATACTACTCTAACACAAACAAGTGCTTCTGTGATTGTCTTGCTGTGGGAAGCCAAGGATACAGTCATCAAGAACAAAACAACTTATGTATTGAGAATCACAGCAGAAAAATAAATTAAAGGAATGGGAGGAAAGCTAAGGTTATTATTCATTACTACCTACAAAGTACCCTTGTAAAATTAAACCCAGTTCCTCCTGCCATTTCAGGGGCCCAGAAGGATCCAGACTCTCAACAGAAATAGCCAGCCAAAAGCTACCTTGCTAGAAAATCCTTTCTAGCACCAAGCTGGCAGAGACAGTTCCTGCAACACTCAGTCCACTCTTGCGTACAGGAGAAGAGGGGCACAGCACGGAGAAGCACACCGTTGTAGTGGCTCTGGGCTGTTTAATTGACCAAAGAGTTAAGATTTCTGCTAACAGAAGTTTGTTTCCGCAAAAGCAGAAGCCTTGATTACTCTCCTCTCTGGACTAGCACCTGGGCAGGCACTGGCAGAAGACAACACTCTGAGCATACATTCACAACGAACTTGTCCTCCAGTTCTAGAGCAAGGGAGAGAACAGAGCAGAATCACTAAAGTGAAAATGTTTTAGACAAGCATGTCCCCTGTCAATGCTCTGGACATTATTTTAACATTAGGATGACTATTTCCTGATAGCATGGAAAGAGACGTCAAGTATTTTATCTGCCTCCCTACTACTATCTTCCTGAAGTTGTCCCATCAGTTAACATTTACTGATACTAAAACCTAATGGACTTAAACCTCTGTTTAAGGTGCCCCGGGAATTTCAGCAAGTCTTCTAATCCACACAGCTACAAAAGCCCCCCCTGACAACAGAGTTCTTCCACAAAATAGTACTGATTTTTTTTTTTTTTTTCCAATTTCAGAGGAAGTGGAAACAGGCAGTCAAATTAGGAGTTACACCTTCAGTAAAACAGATGGCATGGCAGCGACATCTGCTTAAGGCCCAGAGAAAAGCACTTAATGGAAAGTGATGCAGCAGAGTCCTGCCTGAAGCAGTAGGGATACTCCTCCAAGTCAAATTTGCAATGCATGGTTTCTGCATTTAAAAAGCCAGAACTGAGAAGCCAATTCCTTTGTCACTTCAATCCAGCATTATCTTCTGCAGTGTTGTCCCATTTGAAGACCATTGATTGTACTCAGCCACCTACACCTCTGAGGAAGCTCAAACTGCAGCTAACTTACTAGCTCATGCATTAGCACCAGCACCAAGTCCTACAGGCACAAATGCTCTCCGGTGTTCTGGGAACACGGATATATCGGATGTTCAACACAAGACCACCCAGCCTTTAGTAGTTTACCAGAACAGCTGCATAGTACCATTGGGTTTTCTGATATTTTTCTACAATATAGAGCTCCAGGATTTAAAACTAATTTTATACCTTATCAGGTTTGCCTTCATTTTAGTTTTCAGTTAATCCTATCTAGTGAGGCACAGCAGGTGAACTAATACAATTCCATATTTTCTTGGGGAACAGTCAGAACCATTTGCAGCAACAAGCAGCCACACATACCTTTGCTTCATAAAGGAGAGGTCCATGAAAACAAAGCACTCGTTCACCTGAAAGAAAATTGCAGATAAACATCTCAGAACACCACCAATGTGCCCTTCCTGTAAAATATATGTCATCAAGTACAACATAGAACAAATCCAGTGTCAACCTAGAAAGAAATTCACAAGCAGATACTGATTTGAGAAGCAAATTCACTCTTGTAGAAAAGAGGATCAGCACTCCGATTATTTAGGCCATGAAGCAAAGATTCCTGAGGACCTCCCTGGAGGGTGCTCATGCAAGGACAACTGCATGCAAACCATGTCCAAGCCTGGCCAGAGCTTTGCAGAGCGGCTGGTTTCTTCCACAAACAATTGGCACCAAAACGTTCATTCCTGCCCATACTTCCAGCCACTGCCAATTTAAGTTACAGGCACTCTCTCATCCTGTTGTAAGGCTGGCACAGAGGACTCCTTCAAAGCCTTGAATTTCAGACACAGACACCAAAACACACGGGCTTGATACAAATGGACTACTTCAGCCCAAGTACTCAAGCAGTAAGCAGGTAAAGCCGTCTTACTGTAAGGGATTCTTCAGTCTACATAACATTGCATTTTAATTCAAAGCCAGAAATTAGCTCTGATAACAGATATCACTTCTGCATATTAAGCTTCTGCCACAAATGAAAGCACGCGTTATCAGTGCTCCTTTTCCCGCAGGAAGTACACCACCTGGTTATTTCTGGTTCAATGAAGTCAGGAAGAGAGAGACCCCAACATTGTTTCCCCATCCGACTTGCGGGACAGAAAAATGCCAGGTTTGTAAAACAGCAAGAAAAATTGTTCACTTTGTGGTTTTTAAGTAGGAAAGGATTGTTCTTCAGTCTGCTTTTTCCCCCCCCTCAATGTCAAGGTCTTATTGTGTGGTTACCTTGTGGGAATTTGAACATACTTAACACAGGATATCTGAGTACAGATGTTTCCTTCTTGAAAGCTGCAATACCTCACATTTTCAGAGAGACAAGCTGCATAGTACACTCCAAGGTGTAGCACAAATCCAGTTCTTGCCACTATTTCCAGGACATACAGGACAGAAGAGAGCTGCCACAGTCCGCCTGTGCGTGTGGTGCAGTACACGTACGCACATACTTATTCAGTCCCCAGACTGGGCTGGGAAGGAGACACGCAGAAGCCGGCCATCTCACCAGTAACACAACTCTGGGTGCCTTCTTCCTTGGGAGCAGCTCAGGAATGACCAGGGTGAGGAAGGACCAGTTCATGGGCTAGAGGTTTAAAAACAGCCTCCACTGTAAACCTTATTACTCTTCAAAACCACTTTCTGCATATTCAAGTGATAAATACAGTCAGTGGCACATGGTACCATTAACTTCAACTCTCTTGAATCCTGTACAATTGTGGCTTAATTGGCCTCGTTACCCCACAGACACGATACAACACTGATGAAACTTTTAACCAGATGGGCTCTAAGCAGACACTCACTCTGCAAACAAAAATTGAATGCCCCCACATCTCAGGGGTTTTTTTTTTGGTGAGGGGACAGACCAGTTCTTGCACTCATTCCCAAAACACAATTTCTGGCAGGGTCAGTGCAGTTACACAGTTTATCGGGTGGCTGATGACAAACCACCCAATTTTGCCTGAAGCAGACGAGGGGAGATGCAGACACACCATTTCCCCACCAAGACTGGGAAACAAGCAGATACAGCAACAGTGTCTTCAACCAGCACTGCTACCGTCACATTTCATCTAACACATCCAGACTTTGATTGAACAAGATGCAACTATTAATTTACTACTTCATTCCTACATTGACCAGAAAGAACTGCTCATCTTTTAAGACTTCATTATTATCCAATCTATAGTATCCCATTGTCTCCATAGACCTGAATCAAGTATTCACAGTAAAGTCCACAAACAGAAAACTACGTCAGAAATGTATTTCAACTGGTAGAATGCTTCTATGTATCGAGAAAGAAAAGATTTAGAAAGGTTCTCACAGAAATGCCCATTTTAATACATTCAGTACTTCTATTAGGAAAAAAAACCCAACAAATAAAATGTCTTTATAATCAGGGCTAACAATCGGAATTTACATTATCTCATGCATCATAGCGCTCACAAGTGCTACTGGAAAACACATGTCTCTTTCAATTACTATGCAAGGTCTTTCTAGGCAAGATGTCCCCAGCTACTAAGAATTATTTTATTTTTAAAAACACAACATGAATCTCAGCTTTGCAGAAAGGGTTTGTCTGTTGTCATGATAACGTAACAGGCTCTTGCTCCTTCCCAGCTGACTGCAGACACGCACAATGCCTCTCCTCTGAATCTACAGACCATTCTCTCCTACACATTGCCACTGTTGCAGCAAAACCTAAAAACACCCACACCTTTCTTATCCCAAAGACAGTATTTGTAGGAGAACAGCTCTTTAGCTGGTAGGAGAAAAAAAGAAAAAAAATAAATCAGAACACACTCTGTTAACACCCCCAAACACCAAGCTACAGGAGCTTTTCTGTCGCATACGAATGGCTGCCACACCGGCACCCGGCCAGCACTTACTGCTCAAACATCAGTCAGGCTCTGAACAGGCACAGCTTCTGGCCTCACCACGCTGTCAAAAAGCTTCGTGTCAGGAAAAGCTCCTGGAAGTCAGAATTCAACCGCCTACTCTTTCAAGTGTTTTTACATGCAGAGTGTTTAAAGAAAGAAGAGGTTCTCAATCTGTGGATCAAGGACCCGATACGACTACCAACAAAGTGTTCCCATCGATGTCAGAGCGGCAGGCTGACCAGCATCTTCAGAACAGATCAGAAAATACAGACGTGTCATCAGCATTGGCAGACAAAAAAACACCCCAACCCTGCCTTAAGCAACTCAAAAGTTGAACTTTACATCTGAGACTCTTCACATATTTTGTATTTGCTTCAAAATAAAGTCAGTGTCAAGATGCAGAACACCTGAAGTACCTACAACCCTTAATTCATAGTTGTCCAAATGCTGATCTCATTTCTCATGCCTCCATGAAAACATCAGTCCCTTCATTTTAAGGGGTACTCATACTTCTAGCTTGACGTTTAGGTTTTCCTAGCTCTTACAGGTTTTCACAATAGATTCACTCTCCTCCTCACCCTTTGCTTTGCAAAAAAGCCACTATGGATAACTTCTAAGTCCACCTACCACTCTGATGTATATCTAGCTTGAAAAATCTACAATTAAAATAATTTTCCTTTGTCTGCTGTGAAGGGTCACAATAAAGCATTTAAGTTTTAGGTCTGCAGGAAGCTTTATTCACAGCACTTTCCTCCCTTTTAATGTTACGGTTGAGACCACAAACGCATTTACATTTGTGGAAAAAAGCCTAAACATTTTAACTTCTGTACTAAGTTTAGGTTGCTCATATTCCTACAGCTGTAAACATAATTTCAGCCTGGAATTCTACTTAAGTTTTCATTTCTGCAGTTCACTTGCTTTCAGATTAATTTCTCATTAATTATAATGTGAATCATACATTAAAATCTTGATTATTTCTGCAGGTTAATACCGCATTGGTATTAACACATGGCATGGAATGCTGATGCACGATTGAACACGCTCTGACATAAGCAGCCGTGAAGCACATACAATTACAGTGTTGTTTAAGCTACTCAGAATGGCGAGCTTCCCAATCATTCTTCCGCAAACAGCACTTTTAAAAATAAATCACAACTGTGTTGAAAGTCTTGCTTAGAAGCCAAAGTGAGGGACAGGTAGAGAGGAAAGGGTGAAATAAGCTTTCATTTACCATTGCCTAGCATTTTCATTTACCTGTATTAGTATCGACCATTACCTAAAAATTAAAATGTATGCAAAATGAGTCTCAGAAAAAGCATAATCCTAACGCTTATTCACCTAAAAATATCTGGTGCTGTTGTAAATATGGATTCCACCACAACCACCAGCTGTAGTCTAAATACTGCCCCATGACTCCTCCTGCATGACCATCCCTAACTGAGCTCCCTTTCATGGAAAAGGACCATGTTTCAGACTCAAGAAAATAAAAATCCTGGCAGACTTAGCAGATTTTATGCCAATGAATGTCCATGCCTGCAAGAAAATGAAACGTATTTAGAATAACGGGGGATAGGAAAGCCCCATGTCTTATTGGTAGGAAAGATGAGGAACAGGAAGAGAGACAAAGACAACGGGAATTCATATTTTCCACATTTCCTCACACTCCTAGGGCTGAGCAGCGAAAGCTAAAAACCAAATAACCCCCTGTGCTGAGGGATCATAAACGCTGGAGCCCAAACCCGGTCTGGCTGAAGGCCTTGCTGAAAGCTCGCCTCAGAGCCACAAGCGCTGCAAGGTGGAGCGCCGATAATTACCCTCCGCTGTTTCACAAAGCGCAGACCAGGCCGAGGGCAGCGGCTGCCTCCA